CTTCTTACATATGAATCATTATAGCTTGGAACTAAATTCTAAGTTATTCACCCTTTTGTTAGAACATAAAACCAATAAACCATCTTCTTCCTTCAACCCCAAAATTGTAGAAATTTTATCAAATCATTTATTCATTACAACACAAACTAATGAGTAATCCTCTTGACATGGGATTCAAATCCTAGTCTTCCTCATTTGCTTAGCCCAAAGTTGAGCAAATGCTAATCTTCCTTTGAGTACCAAATGCTCAAAGAAACTTCACCATTTACTTAGCCTAAATCAAGTAAGTGGTCCTCCCTAATCTCCAACTTACAATTCATAAGTTGCGTTTCCCTCCCTCTTTCCTATAAGTCAAGATTGTAGGGGAGTATTTAAATTTGTCTTCATGCTCTCAAACCCAAGTTGGGAGAATGAATTCCCCTCTTTGGACACCAAGCGTTCAAAGAAACTCCTCCAATTTGCAACCTCTAAATTGCACTTTAGGCTACTTCTTTTCCTACAAGCATAAATTGTAGGAAATCTCCAAATTCCCCTTCATCTGCCTAGCTTCAAATTAGGCAAATGAATTTGTTTCTTTGAACATCAAAAGTTTAAGGAACATTTATGGATTTGCAACCCACAAGTTGCATGTTCTTTCCCTCATTTCTACAACTCAAAAGTTGTAGGAATTCCTCTCATCCTATTGACTCAAATTGGATGGGTGAATGTCCCTTTCTTTTAACACTAAATGTTCAAAGAAAATCTTCCACTTTGCAACCTTCAAGTTGCATTTCTCGCTTTCTTCTCTACAAACCAAATTTGTAAAGAAATTTTCTTTCTTTCTACAACTCAAAAGTTGTATGAAAATCTCATTCATTCAACCCATGTTGAGTGAATTACGCACCTGAAAATCTACTTGTTGAATCAAAATCAACAAGTAGTCCAACCCAAAAAAATCATTTATTTGTTGAACCAAATTCAACAAATAATTCCATGTTAAGCAAAGGAGCCAAACTCCTAGCTTGTTCCCAACTCTCCTCCAACTCCAAAGTTGTAGGAGATTTCCCCTCTCTTTAGCTCCAAAAGTTAGAGAGAGTTCTCCAACATTTAGCCTAAGAGCTAAATGTTGGATTCTTTTCTCCCCTTAGTTCCAAAAGCTAAGAAGAATTCTTCCACATGTAGCCCAAAAGTTACATGTTTGACACTTTTCTTAGACCCAAAATCTAAGTAATCTCTTCCACTCAACCCAAATTGAGTGATCTCTCCTATTACATTTAAAATGCTAAACCTATAGATGTCCCTTAGGAGTTGTCCTTTCTATTGAAGTTCATCCTACCCTATTGGATGAATTTCACCAAGTCCTAAGTGAAACCCCTTAGGCATGTCTATCTTACCCTATTAGATATACACTTCTCTTATCCAAACATTAAGAGAACTCTAAAACACCTAAAAATCACTTAGGTTCCTTTTGATACAATAATCAATCATCTCCCACAAAAGGCGGGATGCATACATCATTGTATCTTAGGATTCATAAGTAACAGACTTGCCCAAAAGCAAGCATGTGGTTACTTTATGGGTTCTTCATAACCCTTCAAAATATGAAACACTTAAAAATTAAATAAAATCTTTAAGTCACAAACAACTTAAAGTGAAATCACCCTTGTATAAAGATTAAGCATCTTCATTCCAAAATAAAATCAAACACCCTTAGTGTGACATGCTACACAAGCCTCACACACTTAGGTACACAACCCCTTAGGCAAGTTAGGTTTAGGATTTTTTTTTCTGCGCATGTGTTTGATGTTGTGGAGTGATTGCCTATTAGATTGTCTGCGTTGTGGGCACTTGCTCTTAAGTGAATAGTGTACAAATATACATGTTCTTCATTTAGGTGGCCATATCTAAAAAGGGGGTGCTCATAACTAATAAACTGCTTGCATGACAGGTGCTGCTTAAAACCCCCCAAAGATGTGGCCAATAGGATAGAAGCATGTGTTTGGCACTCTAAGTGCGAAACAAATTTTTGAATGTAATGTTTTATTACATAAACTGTCTCTAATCCATTGCAGGTTTGAGTATCTTTTCTTTACAAACATGTATTTGATAGAATTGTAATTGTATCAAACTTGTGGGGGTTCGGAGCAAAAAAATGAAGTGGACTAGAAGGATGTACCTGTCAAAGGTGAAGCCTAATGTCCATTCAGAAGTCAAGAGCCTGAAGAATCCCCCACAAGTAGAGTCTGTAATAATTTGACTAGGTTGTATAATGGCAGGCAACTCAGCTGCCAAACATGTTTGTAATAACTCGGACTCTATTTGCATTCCCTGCACTTTATTCATAAATAAAAGCATGTTTGATTGTTTACCTGATTGTGCAATAGAAATGCATCTTTTTTCTAGGTTTCTTTCTTTGTTTTTGCTTGGGTGTGACTTGGATTATTAGATACGGTAGGCTCTTAGAACAAAATAAGATTTCTACCTATTAAAACGTAATCAATCTAAAAATTGATTTAGGCTTCACGATTTTCTAACAAATGAGAAAGTCTTGCATGGCTCCCTTCAAGGAGCTAAGTTTTCTAAAAATTAAAACAATCATGCATAGCCCAAATGTGTTGCATATAGAAAGCCCTCATTTAAGGATTACATAACAAAAATTTATTTTCATTAAGTTAGCATATGCATACCCACATAATTAGGCATCTTAGCCTCAAAGTCAAGTTATAAGTCCTACCTTATAAATAAAAACAACCATCCACTCTACATTTGCATTGAGACCAAGACACATGGTTTTAAAAGTGACTAGGTGGGTTTAGCTGGTAGTCCCTTTCAAGCGGGATAGTAAATCCAGAGGTCGGGTGGATTATGCCTCATGTGAAGTGTAATTTGTAAGCCCCTTTTGCACTTGTTAGATTTAGGTTCGAGACACTACCTATCGGTAGTCCTCACCTTAGTCTTAGGGTCCGAGGCATGGGTTGATTCCAAATCACCTATAAACCCTCACCTTTCGAGCAATTCCTACAACATATGTTGAAGGAATGTTAAGCCCCAACATTCTAATAAAAATGTCAACTTAAACCAAAATTAGATTTCTAAAATGTAAAGCCCAATATAGGATAGTTTGAGCACCTCTGAGTTTCCCTCAGAATCAAGTGCTCCTACTTCACCTCCCTTGGCTCTCATTCCAAAAATCTAATTCCTAAGTTGATCAATTCATCCTTGAAATTCCTAAAGGCCAAAACTCTTTAAGCAAGACTTTCATGAATTTTAAAACAAAAAAAAATTAAATCTTAGCCAATGTTTAAATGACTTCAAAAAGAAAGCAAAACCACTAGTATAATCAAAAAATTTTCCAAGCCAAAACTTGGGATGTAATTAACCATAGGGGCTTGCCCCTATGGGACGTCTGTACCCCGAAATAAAATAAATCCCATTCAACCAAACATCGAATGGGGGAATCTCTGTTTCAAATTGTAAATTTTATCATTGAGTCCATAAGGAAATGGTATTTTTACCCTTCGGAGTGATATATCATGTTCTTATGCCGTACTCGATGACAAAATATGCAATCCGTTTGAGGATACAAAAAATTCTCCAACAATGATGGCCAAAAACTTAGGCATCTAATCTTGATACATTCGCTTACGATGAACTTAAAGATGAAAAAGAATATAATTACTAAATAAATTAAAATAAATTCAAGGTTGAATGTTTAAATCATTAAATGACATGATATTGTTCTATATGACATTGTAACAAGCATTCTGATATTGCATTAGGGGTTCTATTGAATTAAATAAAAATTATAAAATGATTGGTTAATTGGCACAATGGCGGGGCTAGCACACCTCCCTTCCTATCATGTAACAAGACTCCCATCATCATGCAAAATTAAGGCCCAAACCTTGTACATGGGTACAGCCTTCGCCGCAACATTTTCCACTTGCAAGTAAGTGGACCGATAATCACCTATACATGGAAGCTTTGGAACGCGCAAGCCAGCTGCCATCCCAAACAAACTTCTAGTTGATTATAGGAATAATTATCTCAATTAGTATGTTTGTTGCCATGAATGGATGTGTTTTATTTGAGCTAAGTTTGGATCATAAGCATAAGAAACCTTAATTCTTTCTAATATATTAGGTAAAAGTAAGTATATATTATCATTTGGAAGATCTCCAGTGGTTGACGAGACATAATTAAGATCAATGGGTGCATATGTGGTGGAATTATGCCAATTTTGAAAGAAATTTCGAGGGTTTTTTTCCCACTTCCATCGATTCCAAAAATCCACTTCCTCCGGAGTGCAAATAAGTTGACCGTAAACTAAATATCTACAAGAAAGATGAGCCAAAAATCTAAGAATTTGCACACAAATCCAAAACTAAAAAAATTGATATGAAATGACTAGCAACAAAACTTTGTAACACAACTGGAAAAAACAGGAAGAAAACAAACAAATGGCATTCTACTTCTCAGAAATAATCTGCCTAATCACTTCTGATAGTCTTGTGAGAGGCCGCATTCTTACTGTTCAATTGCTGCCACATTGCTATTCCAAGAACGTAAGGGCTGATTTGATAATATCACTGCTTTGAAAACAAAACCTGCAGCTCAAATTCTCTAATGAGACAAACTTCTCAAGTGATAGGATCATCCAAGAAGCAAGCCAGATATCAATCTTTGTTCACATCATAATGGCAACGTTAAGTAAATAGCCCTCAATGCCCCTCGCTTTAAGCCTCCTACCACCTATTCCACACTATAACTCACATATCATCGGAGCTTCATTCATAGAATAGGAAATTAGCTAAGATTTTGGCAGACTGGTGAGTTAAAATATGGAGATTACTCATGAGAAGGACATGACACATACAAGAAAAAAGAAACAAAGCGGCAGTGCCACTTAAACATTTAGAAAGAAACCAAGTGTCAGGGATCCAACCGAAATTAATTAAATAAAAAGCAAGCAAGCATATGCATTAGCTAGCATGTAGAAAAATATAGTGATGAAATATTACCTTCTAACTGATTCTATCTTCTCCAAAAACTGACGGTCAAAAATAGGATCGTTTGATTTTCCACTAGTACCAGCTAATTCTTGTGCCTCTACAACAAACAAAACCAGTAAGAATTTTTTAAATAGTAAACAAGTAGTTTCACTTTGTTCACAGAATATGACACAAACATAAGAAAAGAACACAGAGAAACTAGTACTACGTAAATCCTAGAAGAATGCTACTAATAGTGTAAAAACGTTTAAGGAAAGACGGCCAAGCACTATAACTTCAGACAATTTGTCTTCTTCATGGGACGGTTAACTGTAAATTATGCACCGTTTATTGTGTTAAAATTCACTAAAATGTATTTTTTAGTTATGTTTGTGCTGGAAATGTTCAGGAAAAGACAAAAACTCACAAGTTTTGAACAAGCACTGTAGTGCCTATAGATTCTGCACCGCAGCGTTGTCATCTACAATGCCCTAGCGCCTAATCCAAACATTGCAGCGCTAGTCGCTCTGGAATTTAAGAAAAATCAGCGCCCCAGGGCAGCCAAGGTCAACGCCGCAGCGTCAAAAAACCCGCACCATAGTACCTGAGTCTCAGGAATTTGAACGTCGTAGCACCAATCATCATAATGTCGCAGCACCGGATTGTACATTTAAACGCCGCAATGCTTAACTTTTTCAGCGCCACGTCGAAGCAGTTAATGAAAGACAGAGCAGCGCTAATTCAACCAATAGACGCACCAGTTTAACCAACAGACACGCAGAGTCAGCGCAGCACCGCAACAGAGCAAAACTAACAATGCTGAGGCGCTAGTTCATTTGATAACGCCACAGCACCACCATGTCGAGCGCTGTGGCGCCTAAGGTAGTTTCTACACTTATTATATATAGTTTTTTCCGTACTTTTGTTAGAGAGTTTTGTTACTTTCAGTAGAATCCAGTAATATTCAGTGTCGTTTTTTAGTGCACCCTTAGAATAAAGTCTAAGGAAGGCTAAGGAAGTGCAAGATACTTTTAATGGAGATCTTACTTGTCTTGTATAAGCAATCCTCTCATTGGAGGAGGAAAGAGTATGGAGAAGTCAATTGTACTGTCCTGGTGAAGTTTATCCTTATTGATTCTTCTGTATCTTTTTTTCTATGAGTGAAACAAAAATGAGTTTGCTTTCAAATTTATCTATGTTTGGCTAATTTCTGAGTTTTAAGCTAATGATATAAGCACAATGCAAATGCAAATGTAGATTCTCAAGCTTTGAATGAAATTATGGATGTTTTTAGTATCTCCCGTTCTTCATTTAATGTATACAATGGTCATGTATGTAGTTAATATTTAGTTTGATATATTACCTCGACGAAAGAATATTGGAACAAATAGGAATATTGGAATGGAATGTTGTCATACCTAGGAATAGGATGTTTAATCTTCTAAGTTCTATGGAGATATTAAAATGGTAGAAAGGTCTTAAATCTTCCTTTTTCACCTCTACAAGCTCGACAGAAATCTAGGGATGCATATGTTCTAATCCACATCTATCATTAAGAGTCTCATTAGGAAAATATTATCGTTTACATGCATTAGTCCAAAACGTATTTTATATATTGGTATCACCTCATCTATTTGCATTCTCTGTAAGTGGGAGAAACTCAAAACACGCCATTTTTGTTTAGCAGGATAAACTATGATATGTAGTAAACAATACTATTTGATTGCAATTTAGCAGAACACTTCCTTGTCAGATCGACACTCAATTACTTTATTACTTGATTAACACATATATTTGCATATCTAGTGGGCAGTTTTAATATCAAAGAAAACTTAAGCATATTCATATTCATATATACATTGTTCACCAATGTAACAATAGCAGGACACATCATACCCACCAAGCTCGTTTGTTCCCTGTTGTCCAGAACCCAACAGAGACCCACAAAGGTGCATGTTTTTGCCAATTTGGAAATTGGAAAGCTACCCTATTGTTTCCCTCACAGCCAAAGCCTTCTTATCCTCCCCTTCTTCCTCCAATTTCCACCAACGCTTTCCTTCTCCCAGCTTGATTTCAAACCCCACCAGTGCTTCTGCCAATATTGTTCTTGTTCTTACTCCTTTACAATCAACCATCACCCCAACTTCATTCTTCCCGTCTAGAATCACAACAGAGAACAAGGCACTGCTAGGTCTTTCTATTCTTTTTCTACTCCGTCATCACCCACAATAACAATACTACATTGCATCACGCTCCTCTTTTCGTCACAGTTCCTAATTTTTATTTATATTTAACACAAAAATGCTTAGATTCATCATGAGGTTCTAATTATTGGGTACTTATGCTAAATTAAACTTGTAACTATATAGCGTTAATTATTATTGTATGTTTGATACAACACAGATGAGATTAATCTAGCATAAATTAGAATTTATGATGGCATTTGACCCTTAATTACTTTGAATTTGTCTCTTTTACCCCGAAAGTTGGGTAAGGGGAACATAAATTTAATGATGAACTCTAACACTTTAAATTTAGTTTGCTCTTTTTCATATCTTAGTAATATCCTAATTTAGATCAGTATGCATATGAACGAGGGATTGATATATCATTTTATTCAAGGATTTTAAGTAGGCTTCAAGGTAGGAAACTATTTTTGTTATGAGATGAATGTAAAATTCCTTCTTAAGGGCATTCCTGTTGGCGGGATTTTTGCTATCCTCAATGGGTTTGAAATATTTTGTGGTCGAATAAGACATAGAAAATAATATATTAACTCGGTGGATAAAAATATTCTTTTACTATAGCAAAACATACATTTTTTTTAACAGGAGATTTTCCCCTACTCAATATGTTAGACTAAATATGACACTTTTATTTTGGGGTATAGTTTCCACATAATTACAAGCATTTAGGGTTAATTACATCCCAAGGATATTTGTCCCTTACAAAATTTTTTTCTTAAAATAGTTGTCGAGTCTTTTTATTAAAACATTGACTAATATTTTATATAATTTTTAAATAAATTCATATCAAAGATTTAGTCTTTGAAATTTTAAGGAATATTCGATCAGTTTAAAATTAATTTTTGAATGAAAGTCAAATTAAAAAAATTATAGGAGTACTTAATTTTGAAATGCTCGGCGGTATTCAAAACAATCATATGCTAGAGTTTCCATTTTTAAATTTAATTTATATTAAAGTTGTATAATTTGATTCAAAGTGTTGGGGCTTATATTTACAAGAAAAAATTGCCAGGACAATGAGGGCTTATGATATAACTGAAAAGAACATCAACCTCAGATCCTAGATTTAAGGTGAAAATCACCAATAGATAGTAATTCGAACATAAATCTATACTATTATTAAAAAAGCCACTTGAGTTTCCACCCATATCAAATCCTAGTACCTTCATTACATTATTAATAATTAATAAATTTAAAAATATCTATATTATTAGAAATGCCAAAGATTTGAATTGCATTTATTTTTATATTCAAAAACAATTAATTAATATATTTATTTGCATTATATTTTTAATTTATACATATCCTAGCAATTAATAACATAAGTCATTCATTAATAACTATTAAAATTCATATTTTTAATTTATACCTATCCGAGCAATTAATAACATAAATCGTAATTTTAATAATCCATATTTCAAAAATAAAAATTAAAGTATTAATCTTAATTAATTATTCCATTAAAAACCTTCATATTTTATAAGTCCATAATTATAAATAATAAAATTTGAAAATTCAAATAAAGAAAAACTATTCTTTAATTAATTCATTATTTAATATCACATGTTAAGAATTGTTACATATTATAACTATGATTGAAATAATTAAATCAAAATAAATCTATCATATCTAAAATCCTAGCCTTTCATTTTAATTTTTTTAATAAAACCCTAGCCTTTGATTTTATTATCTTATTATGATTAAGTGATAGTTTTAAAAAATACTTAATATGTAATAACTTTTTATTTGAACAAATAAATGAAAAAGAATCCTAATTCTTCCTTTTTATTCATTGAATACCCCTTGGTATTCTCTTCTTCACATCTCTTATGTTTTTTATTCCCTTTTCTCATGATCTTAATTCATACCCTTCATATTTCCTTCTTTGTATCCCCTACACATCTTGTTCCCCGTCATATCTTCTACACTTCTTAATCTCTTTTAGTATATATATACAATAAGATAAAAATAGAATTTATAATATCTTTTCATTTTATTTAACAAAGATTAATCCAAACTATTTATTTTATTTATTTTTTAACTCAATTTATTTAATTAAATGCATCATATTTTTATTTTATCTACATTAATCGAATTTAAGTAAGAGCCAATTATTAGAAATGTCAAAGATTTTAATTACATTTATTTATATATTCAATTACAATTAATTAATATATTTATTTTCATTATAATTTTAATTTATACCCTAGCAATTAATAAAATTATTCATTCATTAATAACTATTAAATTTTCATAATTTTAATAATCCGTGATTTTAAAAATAAAAAATTTGAAGTATAAATCTTAATTAATTATTCCATTAAAAAACCTTAATATTTTATAGGATTGTAATTATAAATAATAGAATTAGAAAATTCAAATATTTAAAGTAATAAATATTCTTTAATTAATTATTGACAATTTAATTCATTGATTAATATTCAAATGGTAATAATTGTTACATATTATATGACTATAATTAAAATAATTTAATCAAAATAAATCTATCATATCTAAAATCTTACTCATTCTTTTTAATTATTCCAATAGAATTCTGACTTTTGATTTAGCAGGTAAATAACAATAAAAGTCTATAATATAATAAAAACATCTAAATAATAAGTGAAATTAGTAGAAAACAATAAAATAGATGCATTATATGCATTATATGCATTATATGCATTGCATAGTATAATTCAAAGTACATAACCACAAAATATAAGTCTATCAAAACTCCCAAAGTACAAATAAGAAATAACATATAAAATTCAATCATGTCCCATCACTAAATGGGTTTTCAAGGGAATCTTCTTCTCCAATTATATCTATGAATGTCATATCTTCATCATCTTCAATGTTACTCACTTTTCCTTCTATGTTCAATAAGAATGATCATTGTTATGTTAATTGTTCACTTGATATAAATATAATATAATAGCATATAAGAAGTTGTGGAATATTTTTATTTGGTTGTTGTGCTGCAAAACTAGTGCATGTGTGGTGTGGTACTAGTAAATATGCCCATTTGATCTGCTTCGCCCTCAAGACATCCACACTTAGATCCTCTAGCCGCAGACATCATCTGTGCTTGTCCTATATCCTCTCTTGGATTAACCATATACTGGTCCATAGGACCGCGCGCACCTCTATTATGTATAGTGGAGGAAGAGCCATTTCCACTCTCGCTCCCATAGTAAGCACCATGTTCGACCCTTTCATCAAATTGCTCCTGTTGTAAATGTTTGGCCGTGATACTCTTCTTTATGTAAGCAGTAATTTCCTCTTTCAACTTATCCGGCACATTCGCACAAGGTGCTATATTCTTATGTGGCTGGATAAGTGTTCATTCATGCAAGTAACTTCTCCCTTCATCACCTTATCACAAAAATTATATTTTAAATACACATATGTCTTCTCGCCGCCTCCTACATCAACTTACATACTGTATTTCCAAGAAGGGTCACGCCGCAATGACGTATTTGTCTTTTCCTTGCCCCTAACCATGTTTCCTAAAGAACAAATGCAAAATAAAATACACAAACTCAAAAAAATTAAAACACTATCTTTCCTATAAGTTTAAAAATCAAACCCTAAACTTAAAAAAAAATCCTAAGAACACTTAAAGAAGTGATGTAAAGGGGCGGCCAAAAACAAAGGACTCACCGGCGAGAAGCAGCGCCGACGGGAGAGGCGGAGGAAACATGCGGGAGAGTCGAATCGGGCGTCTGTGTGCTTCCTGCTCGGCTTCGGTTCACATCTTCGATCGGGTAAGTGGGTATAAGAAAGAATTTAAGAGGTTTTTTAAGTATGTGGGCCCCCATGTTAGAGGCATACGCCTCAAAGGAAATTGCGCAACAGCGCTACTAAGGCACGCCTCACTCCACCTGAGACGTACGCCTCATGATACCTGAGAATTCCTTAGGCTTTAAGGCTATTTTGGAACAAATTGCGCAAAGGCGCGCCTCAAATTGCGCAATTTTAAACTATGCTTCAAACTATTACTCATCATTAAAGAAAATTTATAAGCTGCATAATAGTTTCTTTTAAAGTGTCCTACTTTCCTCCTATAGCCTTAATAATAATCACCATCAACGCGCATGAAACTTCTAAAATATTTGTTCCACAAAGGATGAAACATAAATACTTATTCTGCTTAATTTCAGGGGTGATGTTAACTGGATGAGCCAAAAAGTGCAAATATGCAAATTGGTAGACCATAATAGGACAGAAAAGAAACTCAAGGGACCAACCTATGATTTCCTTCCTCAAGGGAACAAAAAAATTTGGGTTTTTTTTTTTTCTTTAATACTAAACAGCATCATGTCTAGGTATTGTTGAAGTCCTATATTTTCAGATGAAGAATTTTCAGTCAATAACTTTACATGTTTTTCATGAAACCATAAAAAGCCTTGCTAACCACCTACCATTGGTAAAGGGCCATAGATGGGTTGGTGGCATTAATTTCAATAATATTATATAGGGGTGTAAGGAGTCGAGTTGGCTCACAATTCGAGCTTACCCAGCCATGAGTTCGAGTTCGAGCTCGAGCTCAAGCCTGGCTCGGCTCGAAAGCTATTTGAGCGGCTTGATTAAATTAAAATATATTTAATAATTAATTTAAATTAATATTATATAATATATTTTAATACTTTTAAATTAATAATATATTAAAAATCTAAAAAAATATTTTTTAATTTAAAACTAAGAAATCGAGCTCAAGCTTTCAAAAAGAGCTCGAGCTATCGAGTCAAGCTCAAGCCTATGACTTTTTTAACGAGCCGAGCTCGAGCTTAGTAAATGAGCTCGAGCTCAGTAACAGCTAAACAAGCTTAGCTCGATTAGGGAGATACTCGATTCGACTCAACTCATTTACACCCCTAATATTATCTACAGAGCTTTAAGAACGCAAAAGAATGTAACTGGAAAACATGTTACAGCAACCATGACGAAGGTTATTAACAAATTAGAAAAATCAAAATGTATTACAGAAAGAACAAAAGAAACTTCAAGATATATGTCCTTGTCAGCTAAGATCAACCCAAAAAACTTTCAGATCTTCAAACATGACATAAATAGAGGAAGTAATGGGTAAGTGCAGCTTATAGACAAATCACGTGCATAGAATAAAACAGATATTTACATATAAAATCAATGATGTAAATTAATTGCAAATTTATAGAGATGAATACAACTTACCTTTAATTCTCGTCCTTGATACTCCAGAAGCTAACTTGCTGAAAAAAAAAAGAGCAAATTATACCTGAGTTCCTCAACAATTAGGTCCCTCAAAATTATATTTCCCACAGTTGGACCAGTCAAATTTTAATTCAATTTCTTCCAAGTTCTTTCGATAAATTAGACTATTACCAAACCATCAATAAAAATTCAATGACCATAATGCCCTTTGGTCGTTAGGGCACATTATGGTTTCCTTGAGTCCTTGTTTCTATTTGTCCATTAGTACTTTCTTGTAAAGGCAATGTCAACTCTTTTTATGGCATTAATATGGCTCTAAAGGCATGGGCCAAGTAGTGGTTAATGGACGGGAAGGGTGTGGTTAATAGGAAAGTAGGGTACGGAGAGTTGTGGTCCATGAGAGAATTTAGAGCTAGAGGCAGGGGTGGAGTAGCTGGCAGTCAAGTAACGTGGAGTTGTGGTCCTCAAGAGGTGATGGAGTAGGGAAGAGTTATTGATGAGCACAAGGACATGGAGGAAAAAGCATAATAACCTAAGAAAATATCATGATGTTAAAGAGACAATATCATAGATCAATTAATCATTTATTAATGTTCATAACTGAAGGCAGTAACACCTTAATGAGTTTAAATGCAACAGGCTTGAAGGTAAAAGATGAAAATTTGAGGGATCTAATTGTTACTAGGCTAAAACTTTAGAAGCCTAAATATAATCTAACAAACAATTTTGAAAATCAGTGAATACAACCATAGAGATGAAAGAAAGAAAATAGAGGCAACACAAAAAATCAAAGAAAAAAAGAACAAGAACAACCATCAAAACAAAATAATCAGAGTGAAACATCCATAGTGCCGGGCTTTGTGAAAAATGAAAGCAAATAACAAGGGCATCTTCTTCCTGGTCCACATAGAATCATACTAAGTACCTTAGATGCATGCATCAATGTATGTGTGACAGCTGTGCAAATTATAATATGCATGGATGCATTGACATGTCTGTAATTGTTTATGTGCATTCCATTTGTGTCTGAAAATGCTAATCAACTTGGGTAATTTGTTCAATTGCCTAATGGTTGCCTATTAGAGGCTCTCAAAAGTGGAAGAGTAAAGGCGACATGGGAGGGAGGATGATACCAGAAAATAAAACAAGAGGAAGAATGAAAAAGAGAATAAAATAGAAGACGGAGGGAAAAAAAGGAGGATAGAAGAAGATTTGAAGAAAGAAGAAATAAATAGGGATAAATATCCACAAGCGAACATAGAAGATGTTTGCACTTTCATCTTGTCTGGCCATATAAGTAGGGATCCCATAGCCAAAATGCTCGTCTGATTATGGGTCCATAAAACGTGACAAGGCACTTATGTTATCAAGACCAATAATCTTGAATGATCCTTGATTCTTCAGCTAATTTTATTAAAACTCGCCATCCAAACTACAGCATTTGAAAAGGAGTAAGCAGGCTCCCATTCTACAAGAGATCTACAAGATCAAGTAAAAGTTTTTATAGACCATATTCTGCTAGAAACTTCACAGGGGAATTACTTTAGATGATCTGAGAGGCTCTTCAAGCTCAAATTCAGCCAATTAAAATTGATTTGCGTAAGCAAATAAAATTGGGCTTAGCCATGTCAAATCAAGAACAATAGCATCCATAAAAATTTAAAAAAAGCATGTGGGTCTATGGCATCAGATGGAGCATCAGTCAAACTAAATGGGTCCCAAATAACAAGTTCAAACATGAATTTCACCCAAACCAGCAAGGAAGCCAAAATTTGAAGCTTATTCAAGTTTTGAAAATTCAAAACTAACTCTACAATTCAAGCCATTTAAGTAGGATTTCTGGCCATTATTCAAGGAGTTTAGATAAGTCTAAACTAACTCTACAAAGCAAGCCAAACATAGAGAAAATCCATCATAAATCAAGCTAAGTATGGAGAAAATCTAGGCAAAATTCAATCTAAATCTCAGAAAATGAGGGGGTAGCCAAATCAAGGAGAAAAAATCCAATGAATATTCTCGTAGGTAATTTCATTTTAACTATCAAAAATATGTGATAAGAATTTAAATAAGGAGTTGACTTACGAAATATCTTATCTAGAATGAATAGAAATTATTTTAAATTTCTTGTTTTTAAGGCTATATAATATTTTAAATTTAATGTAACTTCCTTAATTCTTTACTAGAAAATTAGATGGTTATAACTTATAACTATAACTTGTAACTAGGCCTTGAGATCAATGGAAATTAACTAGAACACATTTTCATTCAATTGGCATTAGCATTTCTTAGCGGACCCAACGTAGTGGGATAAAGGCTTGTTGTTGTTGGCATTAGTATTTCCTCCTATTTCTCTTCTTCTTCATCCATACTCGTCAACTCTATCTCTAGGAACAAAAAAATCATTATTGGCCATCTTAATCTAGCTTTCCTACATATTAACTAGGATCGAACAGAGCAGAATTTCAGCAATTCTGCTATCACAGTTGCAGGCTGCAACCATCCAGGGATGCACAAAGACAATATAATAGTTGTTTGCTTTCTATTTTCATATGTAACATTCAATTTAATCATTGTTATTGTTTGAACTCAAAGTAAATCATAAATATACTCATAGACAAAATACAAATAAGAATAAGTCAAGGTATTAGACACCAGTAAACACGCCATGCAAATGAACATAAAATTTTACTAGCCTAAAAAATTTCTGAAAACAAATACATTATCATAAAATTTTGAAAAGAATTAAATAAAATTATTGTATACTGTCAACTACAAAATAAAAACAATATAAATAAATTATATTATACATTTTTTCATCAAAATCAGTCGTTTTATAATGCTTGTATTATACATTTTTATGAAAGCAAAGTCTGAAAGCGATTACAAATGGACCCAAATGATAATTTTAATCATCATTTGTTTTTATATGATTTATGAAATAAAAAAAGATAATTTGAATAGCATTTGTTGATTTATAATAATCATATATTTAGTATAATTTAATTATGTTAAATTCGGAGAATTGGAAAGGAAAAAAACTTCATTTTATTATACAAATTATCTTTATTTATAGATCTAAACAATATATCTTAATAAAGAAATAAATAATTTTAGAATCATGCATAATTACCCTAATAAAATCCTTCATAAATCAGCCACCGAAATATGGAAGGAGATCAACTTAATCCAGGTGAGCCTCCCATGAATTCCCATCCTGGTTGTGGAATGAAGTGTCAAGGGACTATTGGGATTTAACAGAGATCGGCGTGATCCAAATAAGCCTCCCACGGATTCCCATCCCGGTTGTGGGATCAATTGTCAAGGGACAATTGGGATTTCAACACTTCTCGAGTTGGGGAATACAAATCTGACATTCCCTTGGTAATTAGTGCCAAAAAAATAGAGTTATCAGGTCTCTTGGTGCGTCATAGTGTTCTTTATTTGGTGAAAGCTTTGGGAGGAATTAGCTTCAAACATTATTATGGCAAAGGATAGCAATGAAGGCTATCTCAATTAAGCTTGCAAGGTGCAGGGCAGCAATGAAGGCTACATTGAACAGTAGCCCTCAAGATACCGGAAATGGCAATAAAGGCAAGTGGTGATACAACAGGGAAAGTGGATTAATTATCCTTCAAGTCGATCTCTCTCTCTCTCTATTCTCAAGGGAAACCCAACAATGAAGGCATGGCAATACAAAAGGAAAAAAATTATTTTAAGGGTTACAACAAGCTTCAAGTACAGGCGCAGAAACACGTGTCTCAAGCAACTCAGTACTCAGCACACAGATCTCCTCCATCCTAGGTCATCCGACTCCATCTGAGCAGACTCATATTCGATCATCCAGTACATGTGTAAGCAAAGCTTCTGATCCCTCTAGTATGACTGTAGGAGTGATTGTAGGAGGGAGTACAAGTCTTGCACTCTTGCTTGTCCCTGCCCCCGCATGAAAGGGAACTCTCAGCTCTTTCCAGATACATGTAGAAGGAGGTCCTGCGCTCGCTTCTGCTCGGTCGACTCTAGATGTCTCATGCAAGAAGAGCCCTCCCGCTCGATCTATACTCAGTCTTAGATGCATGAAGGTCATCAGAATTCCGACAAAGAAGGTTGATGGTGAGAACCTGTATTCCTCGAAATTCTGACAATGAAGGCCAGGGTAGGAACCTATATTTCTCAGAATTCCAGCAATGAAGGCCGATGGTGGTAACCTGTATTCCTCAAAATTCTAACAATGAAAGTTGGTGATGGAAATCTAGCTCTGATACCATGTTAAATTCAGAGAATTAGAGAATTAGAGAGAGAAAATGCTTATTTTTATTACACAAAACTATCCCTATTTATATATCTATACAAGATATCTTAATAAAGAAACAAATTATTATGGAATCATGCATAATTGTCCTAATATAATCCTTCTTAAATCAGCCACCCGAATATGGAAGGATATTGGCGTAATCTAGGTGAGCCTCCCACAGATCCCAATGTTGGCCATAGGATCAAGGGGTAAGGAATGGCTGGGATTTAACAAGTGATCCTCCCACGAATCCCCATGTTGGTCGTGGGATCAAGGGCTAAGGGACGGCTGGGATTTAACACTCCCCCTCAAGCTGGGGAACATAGATTTGTCATTCCTAGCTTAGTAATTAGTCCCAGAGAGGTAGAGTTATCAAGTGGCTTGGTTCACCATAGATTTCTTCATTTGGTCAAAGCTTTAGGAGGAATTAAATTCAACGTTATTGCAGCGAAGGATAATGATGAAAGCTATCTCAATCAAGCATGTAAGGTACAGCGCAGCAATGAGGCTGCGTTAAACAGATGCCCTTAAGATATCAGAAATGACAATAAAGATCGCTAATGTGATAGCAGGGAAAGTGGATTAATTATCATTCGGGCCTGTCCCCCTCTCGATTCTCAAGAGAAGGCCAACAATAAAGGCACGATAGTAAAAAAAGAAAAATATTTATATTTATAGTTTGCTACAAGCTTCAAGGACAGGAACAAAAAAACACATCTCAAATGATTCAGCACTTAGCATGCAGAT